TCATAAACCAATACATCAGAAAACACACATCCTACAACAAACACATCTCCTACTCATCACCAACACATCAGAAAGCACACATCCTACCCTACAAAGTTCAATTGTCCCAACTCAATGTATCCATTAGTACGATTGTCTCTTTTTGAATAAACCAATATCAGTATTATGAATATGAGTATTATAAGCCAAATTGCTGCCATTGCAAACATTCTTTGGAGCTTGCTCACTTTGTCCATTGCAATCTTCATCTTCTTCTCCATGTCTTCACACTTCAAGGTTTGAACCTCCAACAAATATTGAGTTTGCTCATAGAGATCTTGCACCTTCTCAATCTCTGATACCTTAATTGACATCCTTTCTATCATCAGATTTTCCATAACCTCTTTGCACCTTAATTGTTCTTCCAAACTCTTTTTCTGACCCATCAAGTTCACAAAGCAACCTTTCTGAAATGGAGGAAAACTTGGATCGATCCATTCAAAATGACCGCATTTCTCGGGGCCCTATAAATACAGAATAAAATGCAAGGCACTCAAAATGACCACAGACATTAAAATCATACTAAAGTGACCTCGGTAAAATGCTCACCTTTCTTCGACTACACCGACTGAACCTCCTCGCCGGATTTTCTGGAGTCATTGACGTAAACACGTCCACCCCATGCTCACAAGTTTTTTGACTTGAATGAGGCGAAACATATCGGCTAGAGCTTTGAGAAGTCGATGAAGACATGGTTTCAGATCGTCGATTTAGGGTGTTTCGAAAATTTGGGGATTTTGTAGAAGATGTCGTCGATTGAAGGATTCTCAGTCTTATATAGGCCTTTGCGACGTGGAATATCGATTAAAACAACAATTGACACGTCTGAAAAAAAAAGCCACGTCGTTTAAAAAAGCCCGAAATTGGGCCCTGATCATAGATTTGCAAACAATAATGAAAGTGGTGCATAATTTTGCCAAGTTTAAAAGTGGATCATAAAAATGCAAATTTCGAAAAGGTCATGGTTTTTTAAGCAATTAGGCCTTTTAACAAATAATTAATCTATATATATAAAAAAAGGTTTGACATTTACCTGAAAAAGGAGTTGAAATTTCGATTAAAATTTCAGAATTACTAAAATAAGTAATTTTTTTTTTAGAAAATTCAATTTTTCCTGCCTAAATCTGTTTTGAAAATTTTAGGAAAAAATTGTTTTTTCAAGAAAAGAATCACACAAAAGATTTTTTTATTACATTCTATTACACCTTAAAATCTACAACTGTAAAAAGTTAGTGAAGCATCATCTTAATAGTCCTAATTAAGTTTTTTTTTGTTAACTAATCGGCGCCGAAAAATAATTACAGTGACATATCCTAAATCATAGATTAATAATTATCCATTTGTTGTACCCAAAAAGAAAAAAAAAAAAA